TGGTCAATCATTCAAGATTAAAAGGGCAGCATTTACTCAAAAACAAAACTCAGAAGGGTGATGAAAGGAGGAGGAATGGGAACAAGAAGCAGAGGAGGTGGGATGCGTGACGTTACGTGGAGGGAACTACAATCACTGTGAAGAAACAAAGTATGTGATTCGTTGAAGGTAAAGCTGTTAATCTGCTCTATAGGCCTTCATTCGATTCATAATAAACATTTTAAGAAAAAAAAGAAGGTGGGGATGGCGCTAGACAAAGATACAAAGATGAAGCTCATTAAGACCTGTCTGTGATGGTGGAAAGTCAGCTGCATAACCCGCAAGGAGGGACTGTCTTACTGGATCATTCTGGTCATCGTTGAAGATAAGAATAGGATCTTGGAGGCAGATAAAGGAGTGACTGGTATAACACATCAGCAGTTCTAACAAAGAAAAGGCGAGGGCCAATCCACAAGAGGCACTAAAAGTCCATGGCACGGCATGCCATCGTTAGTTAGGGGCTACCTGTGTGTGTGCCCTATGAGGAGGAGACCTCTGATGGCTTTGCTTCCAGCTCTACCAACTATGGGAGGGCAGGGACAGCCAGGCGTGTGGAAGTCTGAGTGATACAGTGAAAGCTATCAGATCTGGCAGATGAGACTCACCGCTGGAGGGGCCACGGCGAAGCTCCACTGGGAGAGGGCTGGGGCTGCAAGGCACCGACTCGGTGGCAGCTTTGCACATGTCCTATGAAAAACAGGTACCTGGGTTACCATGAGGGCAGGGATATGAGGTAGGGGACTAGGGAGCCACAGAGCTGAGCAACAGCGGGAGGAAGTAGAGGAGAGGGAATATCATAGCCTGAACTATTGGTGAAGATTTCTGAACGTTTCCCTCCTAACCATAAGACAGCGTGAGACACACCCACATTGAGGAACATTCTCTTTAAAAAAACTAAAACTGTCAAAGTCACACACACAAAAATTGCCGCAGATTGAAAAATGACTAAGGAGACTTGACAAATAAATGCAATGTAGGATCCAGGATGGGACTCAGAGGCCAAAAAAAAAAGAGGACATTCCTGGAAACACGGATGAAATCCACACAGAGTCTGGAGTGTAGTTCAATTGTATTATTATTTGGATGTTATTTTCTTAGTTTTGATAAATGCTCTATGGTTACGTCAGGTATTGTTAACATTAGGGGGAGCTGGGAGAAGAGGATATGGGCACTCGGTACTATTTGTGGAGCTTTTCTATTGGTCTAATAACAGCGTGACCAGCACACCCTCCCCGGCCTGGCCCACAGCACCAGGGACAAGAGGCAGTGAGTGGCCAGGGCCACACTGTGCAGAGAGCCCACTCTGCAGACACCCATGGAGATGGCAGCACTAGTCTATGGTCACTGTAAGTGGACAAGTCAGGGCTGGAAGGGCCATACTGTTGGCCACGTGACCATCTAGATGACCCTTGGGGAGCGCCTGTCCTAACGGCAGAGAAGGGCTCTGGTAACAGTAATTATAGTGACAAAGAGGAGTACTGGTCACAGTGAGCATTTCAGAAGCCTTTACTGAGGCCCAGCTGAGGGTCGTTTGTGCTCTGGTAGCGTAGTGATTATGCATCGGGCTGCGAACCTCAAGGTCAGCAGTTCGAAACTATCAGCTGTTCCGTGGGAGAAAGATGAGGCTTTCTGCTCCTGTAAAGATTTACAGCCTCGGAAACCCTGTACAGGGTCACTATGAGTTGGAACCAACTCCACGGCACATGACAACAACAGGACTTTATATGGGGACATCTGTGATTCAAGTCCACTAGCCACTCCATGGGAGAAAGATGAGGCGATCTGCTCCCGCAAAGATTTACAGCCTCGGAAGCCCTGTGCAGGGTCTCTATGAGTCAAAACCAACTAGATGGCACTTAACAACAATAACAAAGGATTTCTTATAACCTATCCCTATTTTAAAGGAGCTCTGGTAGAGTAGTGGTTACGAATTGGGCTGCGAACCGCAAGGTTGGCAGTTCAAAACTTCCAGTTGTTCCGCAGGAGAAAGATGAGGCTTTCTGTTCCAGTAAAGATTCACAGCCTTGGAAACCCTGTGCAGGGTCACTATGAGTCAGAACCATCTCCACAGCACATAAACCACCACCACCATCCCTATTTTAATACTCGAGGCCTGGTGTCGCACTGTAGGATAAGGACTGGACTGCTAACTGCAAGGTCAGCAGTTCAAACCCACCAGCCATTCCTCGGAAATCCTACACAGGGTCATGATGAGTTGGAAACAACTCAATGGATTTGACAAGAATATTTTAATATTCAGGAAGCCCAGGTGACTCAGTGGGGAAAGTGTTAGAGCTGCTAACTACAAGGTATGCAGTTCTAACCCACCAGCTGCTCTGTGGGACAGAGATGAGGCTGTCTGTTCCCGTAAAGATTTACAGCCTCAGAAACCCTTTGGGGAAGTTCTACTCTGTCCTATAGCTTCACTATGAGTCAGGGTCCACTCGACGGTGGTGGGGTTTTGGCATTTAATCCTCAGAGCCACCCATTTTACAGATACAGAAAGTAAAGTTCAGGAAGTTCGGCAATTTGCCCGGCAAGTTCCCACAGCAAATGGAAGGGCTAGTCTCGGGACCCAGGTCAGCCTGCCTCTGCTGCCAGGACGCCTGTCACTGTCCCTGACTCTATCCTGAATCCTAGGGACTGAGGGCCCAGGCAGCAGGACCCACCTGGCGGTGCACCACCTTGGCATGCTTCAGGATGGCGATGATGTCACCCACCACGGTCACGCCCAGCTCGTTCATGATTTCCTTGTTGAGATCCAGCAGCATGCTTTTCTGGATCCTGCCAGGGGAAAGGCAGTGGTGAGACCGTAAGTGAGCCACAGTGGATTGGGCCAGCCAGCTCCCACCTCCTGACTCCCAACCCTCACCCCCATTCTCATGCCCAATCTCAGCGGGGTCTCTCTGCAGCCTCACCTATTATCCACAAACATCACGGCGTAATTGACGGCAGGTCCTGGAGGAATGCCGGCTTCCTTAAAGAACTGGATCCACTCGGATGTGGCTGGGGAATTAGACAGAGCTCATTATTCCCAGGATTCTCTCTGGGGAGCAGCAGCAGCAAACCCAGAACAGCCGTCATTCCCACAAATGAAATGTCCATCCCCTGCAGAGCTCTGCTAAGCGCTTGATGAGGCACAAGAGAGCTACATCCCCTTTACAAATCCAGGAGTTAAGTCATCTTACGATACCGACTCTACTAATGTACAATAAAACTCAAAATCATAAAACACGACCAGGCTTACTGGTCAGATACAGACTGATGGAACCCCAGAGACTACAGTCCTTGGTTGCCCTTCAGGTCTGGAACTTAACTCACTCCCATGGCTCAACTTCCAACCAAACAATCATGGGAACTATATAACACTAGGAGTCCTGGTATGGCACTGTGGGTTAATATGCTGGACTGCAAAGTCAGTTTGAACTGCAAGGTCGGCGGTTCAAGCTCACCAGCTGCTCCTCAGAAACCCTATACAGGGTCGCTATGGGTCGGAACTGACTCAACAACAACAATAATATAACACAAGGGAGGTACACACTCCTTAAAATAGTCAACCATCTGAGATCCAAAAGGTACCATTTACTCAAGGACAAAACTCAGATGGGTTGTTGTTGTTGTGAAGTGCCATCGAGCAGATTCCAACCCTTAGTGACCCTGTTTCTGAGGAGCAGCTGGTGAGCTTGAACTGCCGACCTTGGCTTTGAAGCCTGGCACATTAACCCCACAGCGTCATACCAGCACTCCTCAGAAGGGTCAGGAATGGAGAAATGGAAAGGAAGCACAGGAAAGAAGTGGGCTGAGTGAGCGGACATTGGGGGGCTATGTCTGAGTGAGCGGACATTGGGGGGCTGTGTCTGAGTGAGCGGACATTGGGGGGCTGTGTCTGAATTGCTGAATGGAAAACTGAACTGATCTGCTCTGTAAACTTTCACCCAATTCATAATAAAAAGTTAAAAAAAAAAAAAGACACCTCCTCTCCCCATTTGGCCAATAAGGAAATTGAGGCAGGACAGGTAGAACAACTCATCTCAGGACACACAGAGGCAAAGCCCCCAGGCCTGCATGCTTAACTACCACCCTTCTCCCAACCTGCCCTACCCTTCTCCCTACCTGTTTGTCCTGCCAGGCCAGAGGCCTGCCCTGGGGCAATTGTCAAACATGCTTAGACAGGGATTGATTTGAGGGAGCAGGGGCTCAGGGTTCTCAGCCACAGATCCCGGAGCATGACAAGCCCCACAGGTGGATGGAAAAGGGGCCCATGGACCTCAGCAAGCCCCCTCCGTGCCAGTGGAGTGGCTCTGCCCCAGGGTGGTCCCAGAGCAAGACATGGGCTTATAAGAATAAGCTTTGGAGCCTGGGTTCAAATCCTGACTTTGCTATTTCATGGTTGAGTGACCGTGGGTCACCTGTTTAACTGTTTTCTATAATTTCGGGATAATGCGATAGGGCTTCTAAAACGTCATGGATAAATATAATGAGAAGCCCTGGTGTGGCACTGTAGAATAGCACTGGATTGCTAACTACAAGGTCGGTGGTTCAAACCCACCAGCCGCTCCTTGGAAACCCTATTCAGGATTGTTATGAGTTGGAACGGCGTGACAACACTTAACAACAACAATGTAGTCCTCGTGTGGCACTGTAAGATAATGCACTGGACTGCAAGGTCAGTTTGAATGATAAAGATCGGTGGTTCAAATTCATCAGCTGCTCCTCAGAAACCCTATACAGGGTCACCATGAGTTGGAACTGACTCAATGGCAGTTAACAAGAAGAAACTATAATGAAAAGTTTCCATGACCTTTTAGATGCTCCCTTGTGCAGGCCAGGTGCTATTCTAAGCAATGGGATAACACAAGGCATGAGACAAAGTCCCTGTTCTCCTGGGGAGGACGTTCTAGTCCCAGCCCCCACAGCCTTGGGTCCGTGAGCAGAGTCAGTGAGAAGCTACAGGAAAGACTTTAAGGAGCGCTGGGCCCAGAGGCCAGCCATGATGGTTAGCGTTGTTGTTATTGTTGTTATGGTTACTACTACACGACCTCTTAGGTGGGACCTTCAACCCCACCCAGTCTGTGGCAGGCCAGGCGTTAGTTACGTGAGCCTGTTGATTGCAAATAGAACAGCTTTTTTTCTTCTTCTTCTTTACATCTCTGAAATTGGGGTCACCCTCATAAGCAATGGTGGTTGGTGGTGGCTATGTGCCATGGAGTCGGTTCCGACTCATAGTGACCCTGCATAGGATTTCCAAGGCTGTAAATCTTTACAGGAGCAGAAAGTCTTATCTTTCCCCCATGAAACAGCTGGTAGTTTCGAACTGCTGTCTTTGAGGTTAGCAGCCTGACTTGTAACCACTACGCTACCAGAGCATCTTATAAGCAATGGTATGCATATTTAACGAGTTATGCTATTTTTTGTTCTTTTTTTCTTTTAGTACATAATACCCCAGTACATCTAACAACTCATGGTATTTTAGATAACATACAATATACCCGTTTCACTGGTGAGACAACTGAGATCAGTCCAAGGACACAGAATCAACCTGGACAGACGGTGATTAGGTGGTAGTGCCAGGCACAGGTAGAGATCACTGATGTCTAGTCTGAGGTTCCTACCCGGGGGCTACACTTCTCCTAAGAAGACCCCTGATCACAGGTGATAGGCCTGACTCCCAGGACACTGGCCAGCCCTAGCCTTCAGGAACTGGGGCAGGAGAGTGCTCACATCCTCAAGACCTCTCCACCAGCCCTGAGGTAAAGGGAGCCTTGTCTTAATTTGCACAGACACTATCCATGGGGCTCTGGGTCCTAGTTGTTAAAAGTAGGCACCTTTAAGCATCAAAAGGACCACAGGATGGGGAAGACAACATACAATAGGGAGGTTGGCAGAGGAAAGATGAAGGTAATGAGGGCACAAGGAGGAAAAAAAAGAGTTTAAATGATGGGATACGGAGGGGACTGCAATCATTGTAAATGAAACAAAATACATGATTTGTTGACTGTAAAATTGGTGATCTGCTCTGTAAACCTTCATTCGATTCACCTAAAAAGTTTAAACAAAATAAAAAGGCAAAAAGGACCACATGATGACTCCATTTCTATAAAATGTCCCTCAGCACTGTTGTCAATCAGCTCTGTCTCATGGCAACCCTACAGGGCAGAGCAGAACTGCTCCTTAGGGTTTCAGAGGCTGTCGATGTTTACCCGGAGTGGCTGGTGAGCTTGAACTTCGGACCTTGCAGTGAGGAGCCCATTGCTTAACCCAAGACGATACCACCAGGGCTCCTTATGAAAAGTCCCGAACAGCCAACTCTCAGAGACAGAAAGTTGATTAGTGGCTACTGGGGGGTGAGGGAACCTGGGGAAAGGGAGGGGAGAAAATGGACTTAGAATGGATATGGGTTTTTGGGGAGAACAGGGCTAAGAGTGTTCTGAAACTCACTGTGGTAACTGTAAATATATGAAAGAGTACTGCATTGTATTCTTTAGATAGATAAATTATATGTTACGTGAATTATATTACAATTAAGCTGTAATTAGAATATTAAGAAAGAAACATTTTTAACATAAGATTATCAGAACCTGGTGTCCAAGGAAGGTGCCCTGGTATTGCCATGGATTAAGCAATGGTAACCAAAAGGTCAGTAGTTGGAACCCACCAGCCGCTCTCCACAGGGGAAAGATGGGGCAGTCTGCTTCCATAAAGATTTCCAGCCTTGGACACCCCACAGGGCAGTTCTACTCTGCTATAGGCCGCTGTAGGTTGGAATGGGCTCCATGGCACACAACAACAACAACGACACAGGAAACCCTGGTGACACAGTGGTTAAACGCTCAGCTACTAACCTAAAGGCTAGCGATTCTAGCCCATCAGCCAGTCCTCAGGAGACAGATGTGGCAGTCTGCTTCCATAATAGCCCCAGAAACCCTATGGTGCACTTTTACCTTATCCCATAGGAGTCCTGGTGTGGCGCTGTGGGTTAATGTGCCAGACTGCAAAGCCGTTTGAACTGCAAGGTCGGCGGTTCAAGCTCACCAGCTGCTCCTTGGAAACCCTATACAGGGTCACTACGGGTCGGAATCGACTCGACGGCACTCAACAACAACAACAACATAGGTTACTATGAGTGGGCATTGATTCAGCAGCAATGCCTACTGAAGTGTAAAAGCCCCCACCCTGTACACATCACCATTCTATGTGCTGCTGCTATTCTTAATTAGTTAGTTCTAATTCATAGTGACGTTGTATAGGGTTATCGAGAAGCAGCTGGTGGGGTGTCCTACAGTGCTGGACTCCTTATGTGCTATTTGCTGCTAAGAAAGAAAAAAGTGCTGCCAATGAAAGAAGTCATGGGCAGGAAGACACACCCCATGTCATCAGAGGTGTTGTGGGAAATTCTCAAGATGGTCCATCTTCAGGAATAAAGGACGCATATGAGATTGCTAGACCAGCCATAGGTTGTTAATTCACACCCAGGGATATGTAAGCAGGATGAATTGGGGAAGGGGAGGAAAGAAATCTGTTCTAGGACGAGGAACTGTAAATAAGAATACAGTCATTAAGCCCATGGGCTCCATTCTGGTTAGACTGTGGAACTGGAGGGAGGTAAAATGGGAGAGATTATAAAAGTCAATAGTACCCAGTAAAAGGAACTGGAGGAAGGGCTTTTTTGAGACAGGGGAATAAAACTCTTGGCGGGTGGGCCATGCCAGGTGGTGCATCTGCCTGTGTACTACTGGGTTGGGTGCCCAATTTTGCAAAATCAAATAAAGAAAACCTCAGTCGTGGGTAAATGAATACAGATTGGATTTCCTGAGCGTTTTGTCAGTATCAACTATTTCCCACAGTGTGAAATGTACAAGGTTTAAGTGTTGGGACAGGGAAGCATGGTAAGAAACACAGTGTTGTCTGGCTTGTCTTAACGGCAGGAGACATGGTTTGTTGTTACAGTTAAATGCCATAGAATCAGTTCTGACTCATAGTGACCCTGTATAGGGTTTCCAAGGAGCGACTGGTGAG